TGAACACCAATGACCAAATACCGGATGAATTGTGGGATGAAATTAAGCTCTGGTAGCGTAGTGCCTAAGGCACTTGACTGCTAACCAGAAGGCTGGTGGTTCAACCCCACCAGCCACTCCTCGGAAAGAAGGTTGGGCAATCTACTTCCGTAGTGATACTGCCTTGGAAACCCAAGGAGGGGTCGCTATGAGTCAGGTCCGACTCGACGTCACGTAACAACAACAACATGAAGAAAACAAAATGTCATTTAAAGAACAGGAAAGGAAGAAAAGAACAAATGGATGTCAAAAGAGACTCTGAAACTTGCTCTTGAATGGAAAGTAGCTAAAGCTAATGGAAGAAATGATGAAACAAAAGAGCTTAACAGATTTCCTAAAACAACACAGAGACTCAGACACAAAATGAAACAGAAAAACACAGAAGTTCGCTATGCTTATATAAACTGAAATAACTAAAGTCACTGCCATCAAGTCGATTCCAACTCATAGTGACCCCCTTTGGGTTTCCTAGGTGGTAAATCTTTATGGAAGTAGATTGCCCGATCTTCCCTCAATGGAGTGGCTGGTGGGTTTGAACCACCAACCTTCTGGTTAGCAGTCAAATGCCTTAGTCACTACACTACCAGAGCTCTCAGTATATACATGCTTACATAATACCACATAAAACAAATAACTTAGTTTCTTAAATGTGTACAGTAATTCTTTGCAGAAAAAATTAGGTCTTAGATAAAGCTATTAATTCGCTCTTAAATGGAGGGACTTTATCCCGATCCTTTGACCAAAACTGAATATTTTTTTTTTAAAAAAAAGTAATAATTATTGAGAACAACGCAAACAGGAACTCATTTTAAAAAAATGATCACTGAAATCCTAAACTACTTTTAAACAAGAACTTCAAACCAGCATCCCAGTGGGTAAAATCTAGGCTTATTTATCAAGGGTGTTGAGCTCTTTCTGCTGCTAGAGATATTAAACATGTAAATTCCTTCAATTGAAAAGTACTTTGAAATATCTACTAATTTTTCAGATTGTCTTTAGTCAGATCATGTCATTTGCTCAAAAAGGAACAAGTAGCAGGACCATAATGCTTACTTAGAAATTGTGTGGGAGTTCCTAAGGGACAGTTCTAATTTTGGAATTGTTACTAACAGTTTCCCTGTTAGAATGTGCACAAACTGTATCTCAGGCCTACTCTTGGTTATTATCTTAGAACCAAAACACAAAAGTCATTCAAAACTCAGAAAGAACCAAACGGAGTTCTGCTTTTAGTTTTCTCAGTTGTTGTTGTTTCTCAGAGTTACAATAAATCCAATACACCAAAGTTCTTGGAAAGTAGAATTACTTTCTGTGACTAAACCCAACACCCAAAAAGTAGACTCATCTCCGACAGAAACCAAAACAGTAGGAAAAGGGTAAACAAATCCATGCTGAATAATAATGAAAGTATGTTGACAATAATAAAAAATAAGCCAGCAATGAACTCAGACAAACCTCAGATGCGGCAAGGTGGAGTTTCAAAGATACGAGAGGTACTCATCCAGGCAGCTCCCAGAGGTCCATAGAAAAAGGAGAGTCCAGTCAACTCAGCTGGATCCAGAGCACCATTTCTCAGCTTCCTAGGAGCTCTGGGAAGAGACCACATCCCTAAAGCAGCTACTCAGCTGCTCCGGTAGATTACACTATGGAATTAATTTCCATTCTCACCATGGGGAATAACTACCTCCAGCTGCCCAGTCAAGTTGACAACAACCTTAACTACCACGGATGTCTACCTATCCTGACACCAAAATTGTCATAGTGAGAACACTACAAGTCTGTTGAAAATTAAAAACAAAGTTTATTACAGCAAAAGAACGTTCTGCAAAAATAGTGAAACAGTCAAAATAATCTTGACAAATGAGTTTGCATGACTGAATGAGGTGTTGCCTTGCCTTTATGAATTTAGGCAAGTATGGGGACTGTGGACAAGCACCTAATTGCCCAGGTTTTTTTTGAAAAATAAAGGTGTCTTGATTGCTGGACTTATTTTCAGAAAACCAAAGTCAAAGGGCCAAAGTTCTTGGTGTGGCTGTGAGTGGGGGAGGAATGGGATGTGGAGGTGCTGCAGGGATGGAGAGGCCAGGTGGTGTGTGTGGGGTGATGTGGGGCTGTGGGGGGACGTATGTGGTGGTGGGAGGTGCGCTGGGGGGATGTGCGAACGTGGTAGCGCGTGATGACACCAGTAAGGATGGCACTGGTGGGGAGCAAGGTAGTGACCCGCTGTGGGAGGCGGGGCGGCGGAAGTCCTGGTTCAGGCCCCGCCCCCCCCGCGCGTGGGCGGAGCCACCACGGGCAGAGCTCCCAGCATGCTCCCAGCATGCACCAGGTCCCACTGGCGCCCTCACTTACTCCTCTGGAGCTCTGCTCTGGGCCATGGGTCGCGCGGTCCGGCAGGGGGCGGTGGAGACCAGCGCGGGGCGGGTGTGAGGTGAGTACAGGGTCGGGCCAGAGGCCGCGTCCCGAGTGAGTGAGCCGTCCGCCCAGCCAAGGAGCACCCTGGAGCGCCGAGCTAAGACCCGGGCTCTGGTTCCGACTGTTGGAAAGGGGCTGCGCTTGCTCCGGGCTCCACTGTCAAGGTGAAGCCACTCAGGCTGTGGTCTCTCTGGATAGTCGCCTTTCCTGGGTCTCCTCTGGCCCGCAGATCAGGGAAGGAGACAAGCGCCACACACGAGCGCTCCAACACGCCCCCCTACGACGGCTTAGCATGGCGCTCTGGCTAGGGCCCCAGACACGAACCAGTAGGGACTCGGGGACGGAACCTGCCGGTGGCAGTTTGAATTCTGGAGTGTCTCGGGGCTTCTTTAGATTCTGGGGATGACTGCAGACTGGAGCCCCGTGGCCCTTCTCTGCGTTGTGCAACCCAGCGCCGTTCAGCAGACGTGCCCCTGTGGGTCCAGACGCCCAGCATGTGCGCGGTCTGAGTGCTGGTGAGGGCTCGGAAGGCTCAGGCCTTGCCCTCATCGTGGCTGCTTTGCATTTCTACAAGGTGCATCCGGAGGTTTGAGGTGCCATTGAGTTCCAAGAGAGCAGATGCGGGGTCCTGGAAGAAGGTTCCACTTCAAGCCAATTTGCCCTCTAGGCTTTGCGGAAGAAAGCAACTCTCCTCAGGTAAGAGGAGGACTTCGGTGACCGGAGAGAACCCCTATTCCTTCTCAGGCCAGAGACCTCTGAGCTCCAGAGAAGAGGCACAAGAGACTCCGAAAAGGAGCCTGTTATCCAAAGAGACCACACCTTGAGTGACTTCATTACAGAGTCTGAGTCAATTTGCAGAAGATCACAGGGAACTAACTAGAGCCGAGAGTGGTGGCAAAGACCTGTTGGTGCAAGAATTGTGACTTCATTGGCATCATTCTGAGGGGACTCCACAGCTGGGAGACTTTTATACTCCAGCTGACCCCCAAAAAGCACTACCCTCCTGTGGTAGTTCAGTTTGTGTGTCAGCTTGGCTGGGCCTGGTTGAGTGGCCGGGCAGCTGGGGGTAGTTATTCCCCATGATGAGACTGGCAGTCAGCTCCATGGTGGGATCTACACAAGCAGCTGAGTAGCTGCCTTTGGGATGTGGTCTGCTTCCTGTATAGAAGGAGAAGCCTTGGGGATAGTCTCTAGCTTATGGCACGCTTGGACCCTGCATGTAGCCGTGTCGTCGTTCAGCAGCTTGCCATGCTCTGCCTACCTTGGGACTTACGATGGACTTGAATTAATGGCCTGCCAGTGTGGTTTGGTAACATTGGGACTGTGCATTTTTACTTGTCAACCTTGGGCTTGTAAGCCTCAGCAGCCAGCAGTCGTCTGAGTGAAGAAAAGCCTCTAGCTTCAGTGGGCTGGGAGCTGGAGGCAGAGCTGAAGCCCAAGGCTGTGGGGCTTTCACCCAGCCCCTAGAGCCTGGCACTTTGAACTTGGACTTAAAGCCTCCAAGCTGTAAGAGAATAAACTCTCGTTTGTTAAGGCCGTCCCATTTGTGGTATATTCTCGTCAGAGCGGCACTAGGGAACCAGAACACCACCTTTCTCCATTCTCCAGTTGTTTCCAGATTCTGAACAGCCTTCTGCCCTTGTCCATGATCTGGTCCCTCATCCAGAGATGTGCTGATGTCTTTCCTGATCTTACAAAGTGAAGAGGAGTAGAGGGCGGATTTGTCATACTTATGAATTTTGTGTCATTTAAAGAAAGGGTTAAAAAGGGCCTGAAAGGGAGAAAATGTTTTAGATGAGTAAGAGGTCAAGGGTAGAAGCCAGAGCCCCTGCCTCCTGGGTTGGTGGAGTCCACAGAATCCAGTTGGAACAAGTTGCCTATTAAAATATTCTTTCTAGAAATGGCAATCAAATTAGGAGGAGCCATTAAAAAAAAAAAAAATCTATGTTTAAAGGACCTGTCCTTTTTTTCACAGCTTTATGTGGATTCTCTGACTCAAAGGGCTAATGTTATTAGTAGTAAAATAGATATCCCCCACTCCCATAACTGCAGTTTTAGTGAAGACATAGTATGTCATCATTTGAGGTGCTATATAATTCGTTTAATCAATTCTGTTACAAATGTTTCTGTGCTGGTAAGAAGGGGAGAGGCCATTTGCCATGGAGTTGACCCCAAGTCATGGCACCCCCATGTGTGTCAGAGTAGAACTGTGCTCCATAGTGTTTTCAGTGTCTGGTTTTTTGGCAGTAGACCACCGGGCCTTCTAAAGTGCTTCTGGGTGGACCAGAACCTTTTGGTTAGTAGCCAAGTAAGTTGACCATTTGCACCATCCAAGGACTCCCAAGAGGGAGATATCAGTTTATAGTAAACATTGAAGATAGAAACGTGGAAACCCATTGGAGTTACTAAGGGACTGTGGCTGTCTCCTTTCTCTTCCCCAGGACCCCAAGTTACTCAGCTGATGTGTGGAAGTTTTAGGCAGGGGAATCAAGCAACTGCAAAGCCAGCCAGATTTCTTAGGGTTCTATACCTTTTTCCTTCTCTTCCAGATCCCCCTTCACAGATTTCTACTCTCTTCCAAGAACAACCGAAAATGAACAAATCCCAGGTGGGCTGTTTCTTTCTTTTATTCAGTTTGTTTTCCAGTGGATTTCATGACTTTGGTAAGTGTTCATATATTAAGATGGAAAAGTACAAGTGGATAAAAAGCCACCTGAGGGACTGTGAAGAATAAATGAGTGGCAGCTTGCCAGTTGGCAGAGAACACCACGAGAGCTGCAGGGCTCATGGGATCCTGTAGCATCAGCAGAGGTGAACCACATAGTTTTCTTGGTTGTAATCTTTTTATTGTTGGTGGTTTGGTTTACTTAAAAATATATATATATGTATTATTAAATTTTTGATGAAAGTGTACACAGCAAAACAAGTGCCCATTTAACAGTTTCTGTACATTACACAGTGAGTTACGTTAGTTACGTTTTTTTCTGTTATTATGCAGAGTTTATTTTTTTGTTTTTACGGAAGTAAGGTAAAATAACAACAACACTGATCTACCATGATGTGGTCAGTGCCTCATCCATACTTCCTTGCCTTTTTTTTTTTTTTTTAAACTTTCATTGTTCAGAGTACATATAGCAAAATATACACATCAATTTGACTGTTTCTACATGTACAGTTCAGTGACGTTGATTACATTGTTTGAGTTGTACAACCTACCTCAACCTCCTTTTCTGAGTTGTTCCTCCTCCATTAACAAAACTGCTGCTCCCTAAGGTTCCTATCTAATCTTTTGAGTTGCTGGTGTCCTTTTGGTTATGTATAAATAGTTCTTAAAATAGCATAATGTTCAACGCAGATCTTTTTTATTAATTAGTTGGTTTTAAGAAGAGTTCAGGGGATATTTTTGGTTTAAGGGCAAGAGTTTCAGGGCTTCATCCAGCCCCCATTGCTCCAGAAAGTCTGGCGTCCATGAGAATTTGAAATTCTGTTTTGCATTTTCCCCCTTTTGATAAGGATTCTCTTATGGAATCTCTTATCAAAATCTTAAATAATGGTAGCCAGGCACCATCTAGTTCTGGTCTTTTGGCAAAGGAAGCAATTATTCATGCAGGAAGTTAGCCACACTTTTCCAAATCTTCCTCCTATTCCTGACTCCCCTTCTTCTTCTGTTTCTTCAGATGAATAGAGACCAATTGTCCTGCCTTGTTTGGTAGCTTGTAAGCTTTTAAGAGCCTAGATAACCATGCTAGAAATTAGAAGGTAGAACAGAAGCACTAAACACGATATTAGGCCAGTTGACTAAGATACCCCATGAAACGATGACCATAAACCTCCAAACCAAGGAACCAAATCCCATGCGGTTTTCAGTTGTGTGTAACCAGCTTCATCAGCTACTCTTTTTGTGTGTACGTGTGTCATTGTAAATATATCACAACATTTTTGGCAGTTCAGCTTTTTATGATATATAGCTTACTGACAGCAATGATAATAAACAGCTGTGCATCTCTACCCTTGATTCAGTTTTCCCACCACTGATGCTCCTCCCTTCTTCCCTCCCTACCTCCGCTGGTAACCACTAATAAACTCTGTTCTCTCTGTATTTGCCTTTCCCTATGAATGAAGTCATACGACGTTTGCCTTTTGTGGTTGACTTATTTCACCCAGCATAATGCCTTCTAGTTCCATCCATATTGTAGCATGTATCAAGACTTCATTTATTCTGCTGGCTGGGTAGTCGTAATTCATCATATTCTTGTACCACATTTTGTTTATCCATTCATTTGTTGATGGGTGTTTATGTTGTTTTCACCTTACAGTTTTGTGATTAGTGCTGCAGTTAACATTGGTGTACAAGTCCCTGTTTGAGTTTCTGCTTTCAAGTCTTTTGGGTATATACTCAGGAGTGCAATTCCAGGGTCTTCTGGTAGTTCTATTTTCCAAAATGGTTGTACCATTTCGCATTCCCATTAACAATGGATAAGGGTTCCAGCTTCTCCACATCCTCGCCAACATTTGTTATTTTCTGTTTGTGTTTTGTCTTAGCCATCTTGTTGCTGTCTGGTGCCACTGAGTTGGCTCTGACTCCCATCAACCCTATGTACAAAAGAACAAGATGCTACCCATTTTTGCACCGTCCTCACAATCTTTGCTATGCTTGAGCCCATCATCACAGCCACTATGTCAAGCCATCTCATTGAGAGTCTTCCCATTTTTTTGCTGACCCTCTACCAGGCATAGTATTCTTCTCCAGGGACTGGTCCTGGTAACTCTGTGATTTTGATTTGCATCTCTCTGGTGACTAATGATGTTGAGCATCTTTTCATGTGTTTGGTGACCATATGAATGTCTTCTTTGGTGAAATGTGTATTCAAGTCCTTTGCCGATTTTATGTTTGAGATACTTGTCTTTTTATTAAGTTGTTGAAATTTTATATATACATTTGGGCTTTTAGAGACTTATTGAATATGTCATTTCTGAAGATATTCTGCTGGTAGTAGGTTGCTTGTCTTCTCTTTTTCAGTAAAGTTTTTTGATGAACAAAAGTTTCACCAACACCATAGGTAGGTCTCTCCATGTAATTCTGGGCATTGGGTTTTTGTTGTTGTTGTTGTTGTTATGGAGAATCATCTGCAGCCATCAAGCTCCATTACCTGACACACACTCTTTGGCTTCATTGGCATCGTCTACATTTTCAAAATATACAAAGGCAAATCTTGAAAGCCTAGACTACACTAGGTCATACACAATAGACACACTGGGAATGGGACCATATTTAGAAAACATTTCTCTTACATCTCTTTCTGTGTAGAAGCTCAACCCAAAATACTCCAAGACAGCAGTTGGGATTTGCCCAACTCGCAGCGTTACGCCTGTGAGTAGACATGGGCTATGCCATCAGCAGTAATCTGGACAGATCTGCTATGGGATCATCTATGGGAATGGGACTGAGATCATGATTTTGTGTTATGCCTTTGAAAGCATGTTATGGATCTAGACTTAGATTCCATTCTGGGCCTGGGCTTTGATCTTGAATGCCTAGACTCTTCTCTGGAGCAAGGCCCTGCAGGGGTATGTCTTGCAGATTCCCCAGATCTGTGAGAACTTCCATACTTCTGGATGCAGTCACTGCTTGATGTGCTTCAGTTGAAGATGTCAACCTCTTGGGCATTCTTTATAGAGTCTCCATAGAAGCTTTGCAGAACACACTGCTTTCAGAGCCTCTCAGAGACCAAGCAGTCCATGCAGTTCCGTACAGGCTCCACTGCAGCCATCTGCTTTCCTTTCCTCCTTTCTTTTCATTGTTATCCTACCTTTTAGCCCTAGAATACGGTTTTTTTTTTTTTGTATTGTTTATATAGTCTTTTTAAAAGTTGGAAATGAGAAAAAGGAAAAGATCTTTTATATTTACACCTTTACACCATCAGCTTTTTGGTGATTCTTTGTGAAGATTGATACTTACATCTGGTATCATTTTTCCTACTCATTCAGTGACTACCTTTAAAATTTCTTGTAGTATAAGTCCAACCAACCAGCCAACCAACCAACCCACCAACCCATGCCTATCAAAATGATTCTGACTCATGTGACCCTGTAAGGACAGAGTACAGCTGCCCCATAGGATTTCCAAGACTGTAAATCCTTATGGGAGTGGATTGCCACATCTTTCTCCAGTGTTGCAGCTGATGGGTCCTAACCACTGACCTTTCAGTTAGCAGATGAGCATTTTAACCACTGTACCACCAGGACGCCCTAGTACAAGTCAAGTGGGGATGAATTCTCTCAAGTTTTACATATCTGAATAACTATTTTCCCTTTGTTTTGGAAAGACATTGGTTATTAGGTATTGATTCTAGGTTATCAGGTTTTGACTGAAAACCAGAGGAATTGTAGGATGACATCAAGTACGTCATACATGAGAAAGGAAAATGTCATTAAAAAGACAGGAGAGGAAGAAAACACCAAAATGGATGTCAGAAAAGACTCTGAAACTTGCCCTTGAGCAAAGAGTAGCTAAAGCAACTGGAAGAAATGACAAGATAAAAGATCTGAACAGATGATTTCAAAGAGCAGTTTGAGAGGACAGTGTCAGTTATTACAATGAAATGTGCAAAGACCTGGAGTTAGAAAACCAAAAGGGAAGAACTCACTCAGAATTTCTGAAGCTGAAAGAACTGAAGAAGAAATGTAAGCCTTGAGTTGCAGTATTGAAAGATTCTATGGGCAAAATATTGAATGATGCAGGAAACATCAAAAGAAGATGAAAGGAATATACAGAGTCACTGTACCAAAAATAATTGGTCAATGTTCATCCATTTCAGGAGGTGGCATATGATCAAGAACCAGTGGTACTGAAGGAAGAAGTCGAAGCTGCACTGAAGGAATTGGCCAAGAGCAAGGCTCCAGGAATTGATGGAAAATACCCACTGAGATGTTTCAACAAACAGATGCCACACTGGAGGCACTCACTCGGCTCTGTCAAGAGATTTGGAAGACAGCTACCTGGCCAACTGGCTGGAAGAGATCCTTATTTGTACCCATTCCAAAGAAAGATGATCCCACAGAATGTGGAAGTTACCGAATAGTATCATTAACATCACACAGAAGTAAAATCTTACTGAAGATAATTCAAAACCAATTGCAGCAGTATTTTGACAGAGAATGTCCAGAAATGCAAGCTGGATTCAGAAAAGGATATAGAACAAGGGATATCACTGCTGATGTCAGATGGATCTTGGCTGAAAGCAAAGAATACCAGAAAGATGTCTGCTTGTATTTTATTGACTATGCAAAAGCATTCAATTGTGTGGATTGTAATAAATTGTGGATAACATTGAGAAGAGTGGGAATTCCAGAACACTTAATTGTACTCATGAGGAACCTGTACATAGACCAGGAGGCTGTCATTCAAACAGAACAAGGGGACACTGCATGGTTTAAAATCAAGAAGGGAGTATGTCAGGGTTGTATCCTTTCACCATACTTATTCAATCTGTACACTGAGCAAATGATCCAAGAAGCTGGACTATATGAAGAAGAATGTGGCATCAGGATTGGAGGAAGACTCATTAACAACCTGTGATACGCTGATGACTCAGCTTTGCTTGCTGAAAGTGAGGATCAATAGAAGAACTTACTGATGAAGACTGAAGACTACATTGTGTAGTATGGATTACTCCTCAATATAAAGAACACAAAAATCCTCACAACTGGACTGATAAGCAGCATCATGATAAATGGAGAAAAGACTGAAGTTGTCAAAGACTTCCTATTACTTGATTCTACAATCAACACTAATAGAAGCAGCAGTTAGGACATCAGACATCATATAGCATTGGGCACATCTGCTGCAAAAGATCTCTTTCAAGTGCTGAAGAACAAAGGTACCTTCTTGAAGACTACGGTTCACCTGACACAAGCCATGTTATTTTCAGTTGCCTCATATGCATGTGAGAGCTGGGCAATGAATAAGGAAGACCAAAGAAGAGTTGTGGTGTTGGCAAAGAATGCAGAAAGTACCATGGACTGCCAAAAGAACTAGCAGATCTGTCCTGGAAGAAGTGCAGCTGGAATGCTCCTTGGAAGCAAGAATGGCCAGATATTGTCTCATCTACTTTGGTCATGTTGTCAGAAGGGACCATTCCCTGGAGAAGGATATTGTGCTTGGTAAAGTGGAGGATCAATGAAAAATGGGAAGGCTCTCAACAAGATGGATTGACACAGTAGCTCCAACGATGGGCTCATGTATAGCAAGGATCATGGGAGGTGGCACAGGACCAGGCAGTGTTTCATTCTGTTGTACATAAGGTTGTTATGAGTTGGAGACGACTTGACAGCACCTAACAATAACAACAACAAGGTTTTGTTTACTTCAGTACTCAATTCTAATCTATTGAATTGTACCTTGTTTTTGGTAGGAAGTCTACTGTCATTCTTGTTTTTATTATTTAGTATGTAGTGGCCTCATTTTTCTCTGGTCACTTTTAAGGTTTTTTTCTTTGTTACTCATTTTTGGCAGTTTTATTATGACATGCCTTAGTGTGTTTTTATTTATGTATGTTCTTCTTAGGGTTCTTTGAACTTCTTGTATGTGAGGATTTATAATTTTCATGTTAAATTTGAAAAAATTTAGCCATAATTTCTTTACATATTTTGCCCTATCTCCTCCTGTCTCTCTTTTCCTGGGTCGCCAATTATTCATATAACCTGTTTCATAATGGCCAACATATCAGTGATTCTGTGTTAATTTTTTTTTCCCTGTGTGCTTCATTTTGATAGTTTCTATGGATATGTCTCAGGTTTAACTAATTTTTTTTTGAAGTGTCTAATCTGTTCATCCTTATTCCTTTCCAGTATATTTTTGGTCTCAGATATTGTATTTTAATCTCTGGAAATTATATTTAAGTCTTTCATATTTTCTTTCTCCCTATAGTCTCCATCTTTACCTCTATATTTTTGAGCATACAGTAGCCTTTGTTACATGAGAGGCTCATGTAGGAGAGAAACCCTGTGATTATAAGGGATGTAGAGAACATATCTGTGATAACTTAACACTAGAGGTCCATCAGAAACCTCCAAGTCAGAATCATTCTGAAGGTAATAAAATGGAGGCGAAAACTCATGAATTTAATGAATGTGAGAATAATTTCAGGAAGAAGACATATCTCATTCAATCTCATAAAACACACAGGAGAGAAACCTTTTTAATGTAGTCATTGCAAGTAATCTTTTTTCGAGCAGTCATACTTCACTTAACATCAGAGGATACAAATGAGAGAAATCCAATGAAAGTAATACATGTGGGAAAACCATCCAGAAATCACAACCCACTGATTGTCAGAACGAACACAGAAATCAATGAATACAAGAAATGTTAAGAAGGCCTCTTTGAATCCATTTCTTATTGATCATCAGAAAATGCAGTTTGTAAAAAAAAAAGAAAAGGAAAAAGAAAACAGCTTTATGTAAGTAGTGAATGTGGGAAAGCATATGGATAATCAAGCTTCAATTATCAGTGAATTCAGAGGGGAGATACCCTAGGAATGTAATAGATGTGGAAAATCCTATTAGAAGTCAGCCCTAACTGAACATCAGGTAACTCATACAGGAATAAAACCCTATGACTCTAGTCAGTGTAAAAAGTCTGTCTATAAAATATACAGGTTTTCTGTACGTCAGAGAACTCACACAGGGGAGCAGCTCTATGAATGTAACAAATGTGGAAAATGCAGATCTGCATAGCCATGCAAAAGAGAAACCGTGGGGATTTGTGCATGTGGAAAATCTTTCAGTTATAAAGCAGTCCTAGATACATATCAAGTAACCCATGCAGGAAAAAAAAAAAAATCTCTGTGACTGTAATAATGTGAGAAGTCTTTCTGAAAGAAATTAAACATCAGAGAACTCACAAAGGTGAGAAAGCCTATAAATGTAACGAAAGTGGAAAATCTTCTCTAAAGTCATCCCTTCACCAACAATAGGTAATACACACAGGGGAGAAACACTGTAAGTATAAAAGAATGGAGGAAAATCTGCTTGTGGAAGTCACACCTCATTGTACATCAGAGGACACAATCTGGGGAGAAACTTCATGAATGTAATAAATGTGAGAAATCTTTTTTTTTTTTTAGACATCAACCTTAACTATATACCAGATAATTCACATAGGAAAGAAACCTAGGCTCGTGATGAATGTCAGAAAAACGTTTCACCATAAGTCTTACCTAACTGTACATCAAAGAACTCACAGAAAAATCCTTATGAATGTAATGAATGGAAAATCCTACTCTGTAAAGTCATCCTTTTTTGAATAACAGAAAATACATACAGGAGGAAACAGTGTGAATGTAGGAATGTGGCAGAACCTTCCATTGACCATCAGAGGAAACACACTGGGTAGAAACCTTGTAATGTGATAAATCCAGAAAATCTTCCCACTTTAAGTCACCTTTAATCATACACCAGGAAACTCATGCAGGAGAGAACCTTCCATGTATGTAATGAATGTGGGAAGTTGTTCTATAGAAAATCAATCTTAATTACACATCAGAGAACTCATATAGGAGAGAAACCATATAAATAATCATGTGGAAGTCCTTCAATGGGAAAGTCTTTCCCATTCATCAGAGAACTCACACAGAGAAACTTCATAAATGTAATGCATGTGGGAAGTCCTTGTGTATGAAATCTAATTAAACATCAGCGAATTCACAGGAGAGAAGCCTTATGAATGTAATGCATGCAGAAAATCCTACTCTGTGAAGCCATACCTTTGTCAGTATGAGATAATTAATCATATAGGGGAGAAAGTTGACTATGTAATAAATGTGGGAAATTCATCTAATATAAATCAGCCTTTACCATACACCAGAGAATTTAAACAGGAAAGACACCTCATGTATGAAATGAATGTGGAAAATCCTACACTTTGGAATTATACTATTGTCAACACCAGAGAATACATACAGAGGAGGAACAATGTGAATGTAAAGAATGGGACAGAACCTTCCAGAAGTTATACTTCATTGAACATCAGTGGAAACACACTGGGGAGCAACTTCATGAATGTGGGAAATCCTGCTTCAAGTCAGCCTTACCCATAGCAGAGAACTCAAAGAGAAGAGAAACCATATGACTGATGGATGTGGGGAAGCTTTCTGAATGAAATCAGCTTTTAGTAAACATCAGAGAACTCACACTGAAACTCTGTAAATGTAATGAATGTGGAAAACCCTACTCCATGAAGACATCCTTTGATCACCAGAGAAGGCACACAAGGAAGAAACAAGATGACTGTAAAGAATGTGTCAGAACTTTGCAGAAGTCACACCTCATTGAACATCAGTGGACACGCACTTCGGAGAAGGCTCACGAGTGTAATAAACAGGTAGTCCTACTATGAGCCAGCCATAACCGTAATCCAGAGAACTCAGAGGAAAAACCTGTAAACATAATTAACGTGGGAAATCTTCCTAAGATGCCACATCTCACTGTACATCAGTGAACTCACTCCAATAAGAACCCCTTTAAATTTAAGGAATGTGGGAAAACTTTTATGTGAAGTCACACCTCAGTGATCATCACAGAATTCACACAGGGAGAAGCCGTGGGAAAGTCTATATGACATTAACCCTCACAGTACAAAAGAGAACTCATACTGGGAGAAACTTGATAACTGAAATCCAAATGCTGGAAAACCTCTGAAAGAAAGCCATCCATACTAAACAACAGACAATACACAGAGAAACCCTAAATTGTGACAAATTCCATATGGAGTCACATTTTGTCACACCACCAAGAACTCCCATGAGAAACCTTATGAATGTAATATTAAACACTTCTACATAAATGCAGTCTTAATATATCATCAGAAGACACGAGTTAGGTGTTTCATGGTTTTACAAAGGGAATGAATATCTGAAAACTTTTAAGTCATTAAAAAAAAAAACAACGCACTGCCATCGAGTCAGATCCAACTCATAGCGACCCCTCCTTGGGTTTCAAGGCAGTATCGCTATGCAAGTAGATTGCCCAATCTTTTGGCAATGAGTTGGAACCACCAGCCTTTTGGTTAGCAGTCAAAATGCCTTAGGTACCATGCTACCAGAGCTTCTACTTTAAGTCGTAAAAAATAAAAAACCCAAACGCACTGCTGTCAAGTGGGATCCGACTCATAGCGATCGCGCCTTGGGTTTCCAAAGTGATATCACTATGGAAGTAGATTGCCTCATCTTCCTTCCAAGGAATGGTTGATGGATTTGAACCACCAGCCTTCTGGTTAGCAGTCAAATGCCTTAGGCACTACGCTACCAGAGCTCCAGTAGAGAATCCTCTCGTTATTACAAATCCTACTTTTCACTCCCACTTACTCACTTTGTTTCCGAGTGCAACCCCTGGGTATTCCTATGTGGCATCCGGTAGCATCCTGCTGAGCTGTATCTGTGATTAATAAACTGCATTTCATCTTATCTCTATTTTCAGGGGTCATGTATACTGCCATTCTCATAAGCTGAGGGTGGGGATTTTCCCTTACAGGTGGTTTCAAAAAGAGGTGAACAAAACACTCCCCATAGCTTAAGTTTTTATGACAAGTATTCCACATTAAATACAACCAGTGTTTCTTTGTATCTTGTAGGATTTTTAACAAAGTTTCTGAATTCAGTAATGCCTCTATTGTGTTGTTGATTGTGACTCATAGGAACCCATGTTACAAAATAAAACTGCTACATCGAGTTTTCATGGCTGGAAGTTTTACAAAAGCAAATCACCACTCTGACAGAGCCTGGTGAGACCCCCAAAAGTATGGCCCCTAGTTACCCTCCAGCTCTGGAACTGAACTCACTCCTGTGGCTTCCAGTGAAACAAGACAGGTATATCAGGTGAACATTTACATCAGGTAGATACTCCCAGCAGTGTAGTATATTACTTAGTGTGGCTTTTCTACCCATAAGTCTTTGTAAACTCCAAGGTGGGATTTTCTATGAGCAACTGAGGAGCTATCCACCTGGGTTATTTCTGTTGGGCGTGGCACAATACAATGTTCTGGGAGGTTCCCACTCTCTCTCACGTGCTTAGAGTTCTGATGCTGTGATTGGCTAGTTGGAC